TTTGCATAAATGCTCTGGCTAAAAATCTTCTAACTCTTAAACTAGAAGAACAAAAGTTAAAAACTTGCTATTTTCGTCATCTTAAGCAAATATTTGACTTAAAAATGTGTGAAAGTTTAACTATTTAGCTGGAAGTTTTGGCAATTTGGATGGTTTGAAAATAGTACTTTAAAAACAGTCCCTCCGTTATTAAAAAAATCGTCACGTACAAAAAAAAGTTAAATCGTACTTTCCAGACTAAGTCTGATAAAACTTGAAATCTTCACCGACTTCAAATAAAGACAATGGAAACCACAATAAAGTGATTTAAAGTTGAGGTGAATTTCAAAGTTGATTTAAATACGAAAATTTGCACCTAAAATTTCTAACCAACAAACCAGAACAAGTAAGAACTTGAAACCATCAGCGTCGGTAAAAGAAGCTGAACTTTTCAGTAAGCTTGAGTAAATTCCTGATTTTTGCTGGCGCATTAAATCTTGCCGACAAATCAATGATTTCATAGAAAAGCAAACTTTCTTTTACAACTGCGAACTTGAAAATCTCACCAAGTAGCAACTTGAAACTTGCACACTCTTTCGATCACAAAAGCCGCGCCCCGAATGCCTGAAAATTCCACTCAAATTGGAGTGTTTTTGGAGAAGTTTATCAACCTTTAAAAGCTTCAAACTTTGAAAGAAAAACAGGTAGGAACTTGATTTTTTTTGCAGGCCGCAGGCCACACCAAACCATGAATCTTTAACAAGGTTTCTAAGTGCAAATCTTTCAATTTCCAGCAAAAATGGCCCAAAATTCTGAATTTTTGCGAACTTTTTCCAAATTTGCTAACACGAACTTGAGGAAAACATCGCAGCTTCTGCACAAGAACAGGAAAAAACTTGGAATTCTCAGAAACTTCAGATATTCCTCAACATGAAAGTTGGTTTCTGTTGAAAACCCACTAGGCCAGACCATGTTGCCGCACCTCCAATTTTTCCCCCGAGCAACGTTGCCATTTACATAAATAAAGCAATCAGGTTATTGAGTTAGTTAAGGATCTGCTAGAGATGAAAATTTCAAGTTCGCACTTTCTTTAGTTTAGAAGATTTTAAGCCGGAGAGAGAAACAAATCGAAAAAATTAGGATTCCTCCCAGTTTAAGTGAAACTTTAAAGTTTATAACTATGGATTTGAAAGTTTTAAGTTCGAGTCTTCAAAAATCTCCGATTTTTGGGGGCTTGATAAAAGTTGGTCCATTTGAGACGAAAAGTCCACTTTGCGACCAAGCGGCAATTTTTGGCGATAGCAACTTGAACCTTTCAAGTTTATACTTATATGCTTTAAAGTTCCATTTAAGCAGCTCGAAATTGTGATTTTTTCGAATTTTGTGTTGCAAAATGAACGATTTTGTATAAAGGCTATCTCTGGCTAAAAATCTACCAAGTCCTAAACTAGAAGAAGAAAAGTTAAAAAAACTTGATATTTTCGTCATTTTAAGCAAGTGTTTGACTCAAAAATGTGTGAAAGTTTAACTAATATTGCAGGAAACTTTGGCAATTTGCATCGTTTAAAAATGGTGGTTTAAAAATTGTTCCTCCGATATTAAAAAAATCGTCCCGTGCAAACTTGAACTTGAAAATTTCCCTTTCATTTAAACACACCCCAGTGAAAAGTTTGTAGCGTTCAGACTAAAGCCAGCAAAAACTTGAAATCTTCACGCACTCGCATATAATTTTTCCGGTTATGTGGAACGTTTTAAAGACGTTTTAGAACAACTTCAGGTAGGTTTTGCAAGTTAAATCGTACTTTCTAGACTAAGCCAGGTAAAACTTGAAATTTTCACCGACTTCAAATGAAGGAAATGGAAACCACAAAAATATGAGAAAGTTTCCGCATTTTGATGGCTCGGTCAAAGTTGAAATAAATATGGAAATTTGCATTTAAATTTTCTAACCTACCAACCAGAACAAGTAAGAACTTGAAACTATCAGCGTCGGTAAAAGAAGCTAAACTTTTCAGTAAGCTCGAGTAAATTACTGATTTTTGCTGGCGCATTAAATCTTGCCGACAAATCGAT